CATTGACCTGTCATACCATGACAACTCATATTTCTAGCTGTTCAACATCATTATCAGATCTGCGACTTCATTGTCATTTGTCAAGTTATAAGGCACATTGGTTCCTATAAATCTCATTACTGATTTAGGAAAAATTACAGCATCCACAACAAGAATTCTAGTTTTCTGAACCATATTGAATAGACAAAATATATTATATGAATTATGTGAAAGGAGTTGCACAAATGATAACAAATCCTGTCATCTGTCATATTCTTCTCTGCTTATCTCTTCTCGAATGTTTCAATGTGAATTCATATTCGTCGTTACAAATTCATGTGATCAGAATATCTCCATAAAAACCGATATAACTATCTTGAAAACGCTAGAATTCCCACACGTCGCAAATCAAGTTGAAATGTCGCATTCGCCTACCCTAAACACCAGATTTCGCGAAAAAACCGCTAAGATGGCAACCCTGGTTACTTGTTTCACGATAAACTACCTACTTTGCATACATACAACAACCGGGTTACAAAAACTTCCAAGACTATTATACAAAATTCAACCAATTTTCTAATGTATGTATTTTTCTCATTTCATAAAGATTGCTTCATCATGAAGACTCACTTTCAATTCACTTGCACACTAAACTACATAACGTTCATTGAAATACTTGTATTATCATTAGAAAATCCTTTAGAATTAGTTTTATTTTCTGAGACTCATGACATTGATCTTTTTTTTATATCATGCATAGTAATGACTCAAATACCTATTCATTTTATTTTTATACTCCAGTGATTATCTGTTGAAAGATGTTCCTATAATAATTTTATCATATAACCACAATGTATGTTGGCATGTTTCTTGTTTCGAGTTTTGTCTTTGGAATTTTATATTTTCATCTTGTCAGGCTATATTTGAATTGCGCACACTGTTTGTAAATAATGCCATATATTCCTTATATTGTAAATCAAATATACATTTGTTGCCAACTTCACGAGTTTCATTTTGGACATAAGTAGCTCATCAGCAGAATAATTTTCTATTAGTTTGAATATTTCCCCTCACATTACCTACAGTGAGCATAAAAGGTTGGAACAAAATCGTTCCTGTATTGATGAAGCCAGTAGGGAAAAAAGCTCAGACACATCGATTTTCTTTTTAAGCTGCGCATTTTTTTTCCGGTGATTATATTTTTGATGACGTTTTTTTTTAATGGCAATACCCTATTTTGATATTATTGAATTAGGCGAGTGAACTATTTTTTATTAATTTCTTAAATAGAATAATCCCTCGGATACCTCTCGATTTCATATTTTTTAAGAATTTTATGGTCGATTTTTAGGTGCTAAAATCATCGATAAAGCCACGGTTGTGAATGATACGCTAGTTCATTCTAAACTGCTTTTATTTCAAGACGTCGACAACAATCAGATTGTAATAAAAACATGAGGTATATAAAAACATGTGACTGTAGGATATACAGGTTGGTATCTTATTCGATGACATCTATATAATTTATTTGTAATTCAGCTTTTCAGGAGCTTTAACAACTCGGCCAGATCTCGTTGTATTTGGTACAAAAACTACATCATCATCGTCTGACTCATCGGCTGACAGTCTAATACTCACTAGACATTCCTGAACTACTACTCTGACTACCTGAACTCAACTGATCATTTGAACTATTCCTTTCCTCACCAGCCCAGCAGTTTTGAGGTTTGGTCATAGAATAAGATAACAACCTGTATATCCTATACAGTCACATGTTTTTATATACCTCATGTTTTTATTACAATCTAGTTGTTGTCGATGTCTTGAAATGAAAGCAGTTCAGAATGAACTGGCGCTGCGAATATGAAAAAGTACATGGTTTTTTCGGAAATGATAAAATTTAGACTTGTAAAGTAAATATATCAAAATCGAAATAAGTGAAATGGGCGATTATCGTGACATAGCTCCAATGGATATGAGTGGAAATGTGCCTGAGAATTGGAAATTCTGGATACAGAAATTCAAAAATTACCTCAAGGCAACAGAATTAGATACCAAGAAGGAAGACTTACAATGTGCTCAATTACTTCAATTAATTGGTGATGAAGGTATACGCGAATCTTCAATACCTTCAAATTCACAGACACGGAGATAGGTAAACTGGCACGGCTCATAAAGAAATTTCAAGATTACTTTCAACCAAAGAAAAACTTTACTTTTGAAAGATACAAATTCATCAACAGAAAACAAATTGATGGTGAAGGCGTACAACAATTTATTACTGATTTGAAGAATAAGGCAAAAATTGTTATCAACAATTTATCACTGATTTGAAAAATATGGCAAAAAATTGTTATCTAGGTAGTCTAGAATAAGAAAGTTTAACTTGTTCGGTCTTCATAAGTGGTTTATTGTGTGCGAATCTGAAGCAGCGGCTTCTGGAAGATGATGAAACGTTCCCTTATGATTTTTGGCTTATTGCTTATAATCAATTCGTGTAAATAATAATCATATTAATACAGACTAGGGTCCCTTGATGGAAATTGACGTTAAAGTCATCTTAACAGGGTACAGACAGATCATAGCTGCATTTTTTTTTAATGATCTAGACTCTACACCTTTTTCAATTGTAATTCAGAAAGTGTAACTTGTAATTCAGATTAGTAAAATGTAAGTCAGAAAGTGTAATTTGTAATTCAGAATAGTTAGTTGTAATTCAGAAAGCGTCAATTGTAATTCAGATTTATCAATTGTAATTCAGAATACATAACATGTAATTCAGATTAGTGAAAGGTAATTCAGAAAGTGTAACTTGTAATTCAGAATAGTCAATTGTAATTCATAAAGCGTGATTTGTAATTCAGAAAGCATCACTTGTAATTCATAAACACTATGGAATTAAATAAGGCTAAGAAATAGAAATAAACAAATGGTTCATTGTGAGGTGAACAACACTATGGACTTGAATAAGGCTAGGAAATAGGAATAAACGAATGGTTCATTGTGTGGTCAACATCAATATTTTATATTTATCAACCAACGGGCATATCTTGAAATGCCAGAGCTGCAGCATGGTGAATGGTGGTGTGTTGTACAGCCCTAGCACAATCTCCTCCAACAATTGTATCTTTGGCCTGGTCAGTATTCTGTTCTATGTAGATAAACAAATCGTTGTTCTCCAACACCCGGACCTCAAGGAGAATGGATGCATATGGGCTGTTTCTAGTTTCTGAATCATAAATGATACTTTCTGAATTACAAGTTATGCTTTCTGAATTACAATTGACGGTTTCTGAATTACATTTCACTATTCTGAATTACAAGTTACACTTTCTGAATTACATTTCACTAATCTGAATTACATATTACGCTTTCTGAATTACAATTGACTAATCTGAATTTCAAGTTATACTTTCTGAATTACAATTAACTATTCTGAATTACAATTTATACATTCTGAATTACATCTTATACTTTCTGAATTACAATTGAAAAAGGTGTAGAGACTTTGGTTTTGTCTACTGGCATCCCTGTCATTGCTGTCACGTCACATCCATGGGCGCTACAGAAAATCATTCAAAATTTCAATGATAGTTATGTACAGGGTATTTATACTTGTTGAGGAAGATCATATGGCGAACGAGTTTTGTAATTATGATTCAATTCTATTCAAAATTAGAACGTATCTGGGGTTTTATATAATCACTCTACCACAAATTGAAAATATGTAGAATGCAAGAGTGAAAATAACGTGCATATATAAGTTATACTGTATACCTACTTCTTTGTTACTTTCATCAATAAATTATTTGAAAATTACTTTTTATTCAAGGGAAACGGAAAAGTATATTCTATTCTTTATTTTCAGCCTACTTTTCGTCCTAGACGAAGTTTCACACATAGTGTGATGATAGTCACTCAATGAATTCTTCTCCGAGTTGGATTTCCGAAAATATATTTAGCACACTTAACATGAGTACAGTAGTTAAGATACCCACATCGAGGTTGTCGCCATTTTTCAATCATAAGGCTCAGCTCATTTGCCTCATAGATGAACTACTGCTCAGATTGAAATCAGAATTCATTCAGTCAATTCAATCAACCATGGTATACAGTCTAAGGACAGTCTCTTTTGGTGAAATATATTACGCTTTCGGTACAATTTGTATCTTCCGTACCTCGCGAAGATTATGCTGGAGTAGTAAATAACTCTAAAACTAGAGGATTGTTCATCTATATCTTGGTATAGTTGAATCAGGAATTCCATATGGAAATTACATATGATACGCCAATGACCTAAATATAACCTAAAAAACAACAAATGTCAAAAATCTAGTGTTTATCCCCAGAATTGAATAAGGATGGAACTATATAACTGTTTCACAAACACTTTAGAGTAAGAGGAGACGAGGATCTGTCCGTACCCTGTTGATATGACAAATACGTCAGTTTGCATCAAGGGACCCTAATGCACACTAGAGAACATTTGAATCGGTGAACGTGACAACCACGGCGCACAACTTGTGGGCGTGGTCTTGTCAGATCTCAGCATTCAGCACAATGTTGCCAAGTCTCCAACATTTACATGATATGTTGTTATGGCGAATAAGAAATATTTGGACATGTTGGTTGCTCGAAAAAATCAAGATTGAACTATATAACAACATGGGTTCCTCCTATTATGTTTTATTCAACGACAGGACTCTCACATCTTTTTGATAACTTGATTATAATTGGTGACTTGACAACCTTGCTTCATGAGTGGAAATGGAAGATTTTCTGACCAATAACGAAGCAGCATACAAACTGACGTCATTTATTCGACGTATCGCCAAATGGCGGCCATGCATGACGTTACGTTTGAAATGAGCTCTGAAATTCAACGATTTTGACTTACTATTTTCATTAAAAAAAGGGTGAGAAGTGTTGCAAAAACTAAACGACACAGTCCACTCGCCCATTATAGCCGAAAGCAGTCGTCCAGGTTTTTTTTAGCGTTAGGTATAATATACATCACCCGCGATGAGTCAAATGTCACATAAATGTCTTGGAATAGAAATATGAACAAAACAAGATATGAAAATTTATCTGCTGATTACCACGTTCCTCACGAATATATTTACTATGATATTTTTAACGTACAATATAGTAGAGCCACCGATACTCAACTTGTTGGTTATGGTGTTACAACTACTTTTCTTAGGATTATTTTTGGTAAGTCGAGTAACATCAAGAATAATTACAATGCCCAGGATCTCAGTGAAGCTTTCATACCCACATTTTGAAAAAGTTTCCTTACCGACTTACCGTTGATTATTTTCTCTTCATTAACTCAAAATGATATATTTTTTTGGTAACTTTTTGTAGTAGGACAACTCTATCAAACCGTTCGATCATTATTAAATAAGTGGAAATTCATTATTTTTCAGTACTTATATCACGCCTAGGTTTCATAATAATCCAAATGGGGAGCATACCCATAGAAAATATATATAGGATTATATTCTACAACATTTTCGAGATTGGAAATGCCATCGCTTCCTATGCTCTCGTAGGATTCATATTGTCCTTTGGGAACATGACTCTCAGAGGATGGATTGGATATTCAAGCAGTCTTTCTTATAATTTAGATGAAGCAATTTTGGGTGAGTAAAAAATACATTTTTGGCAAACCAGGGTGTTTCCCATTTCCCAACCTGTCTGACAAAATGGGAGGAACGAAAGCTTAATCAAACATAATTCAATACACAGTTATGAAACGCGAACCATAGATCGCGAACAAAGGATACTAATTTCTGTATGCCCAACGTACGTTTGACGATATCTCAGAAATATTCGGACATATTGGGACTCAGGCTATACAACTCTCTTCCCGAAGAATTGAAATTGATCAATGAACTGCATACTTTTGAAAATAAAATGAAAATGCTTCTTCTCGACCTCTGCCCCTATAGTTTGAACGAATTCTTTCAACCTGTTTGTTTGTTTACTTTGACTGTGCTCTGTGGATTAAATAAACTTGAACTTGAATCCTTGCTCAATTTTGAGAGGAAAATGTAGAATAGTTTTTTTTTCAAATGTCACTTTAGTTTTCGAGATTCAAGGTTTGATTTTATTTCACACAAGGGAATTATTTAGCCATTAACAGAAAAATATATCAAGTCCAGTGGCGTTCGCAGGGGCACCTTAAATAATATTGCGAATTCTCAATGTATTTGCTTAATATACAGGGTGTCCCCAAAAGGTGCGGAAAAAAAGCTACCACAAGTTCCTGAGGCGTGAATATGACGATCTAACTCAACTTACCTCATTCCAAAAGTGGATGATTTCAGGAGATACAGAGTGTCAAAAGTTCAATTAAATTTTATATCCTGTGTATATATCCATTTTTTTATGTTCATACTTCATCTGAGAATATTCCTTTTCAACACTTTCATACCCAATCAAGGGGATCAAACTTGAACGATCGAAATTTTTCATTCATTTTCATAGACCTCTAATCACAGATTCGCGATAGAGTCTCAATTCAGAATTCCTTTCCACGCCCTGTATGATGAATATCAATTTATCATACACCCAACCACAATATTATGTAATTTCGAAATTCATCTCCTGAGGTGTTTACGTCAAAACCACTTTATAAACCATGAAAAAAACACGAAAAACTGTATCTTTATAATCGCTTGTTGAAATGAACTAGTTTATTCGAGGAGAAAATATGGTAGGTATAAAAGTTTTTTGAATGGCGCTTCGTTAAATACAGGCTGAAAAAAACATGAACATGTTTGGGATTTTGAAAACTGAGCGACATTCCAAAAAAAATCCATTCTTCATGTTTTGGCTTGAAATTGTGAGAGGATTTGCTCCTTTCATTTTGTCAGAGGGGTTGGTAGGTAAGCAAAATGTCACATGGAATTGAAAATTCACATCAGTAAATCTTCGAGATATGATTGGCCGTTTCCAGGAATTTCTGCTTGTCTTCTCGGAACAGCCCAAATATCAACTTTCCTGATTGGTCGGATACATCTCGTAGCCTCGATTGCAATAACTTTCCTATACTGTGCATTCTACCAACCCCTATTGATGCACTGGATTTGGCACAGCAAAGGGTGGATGAACAAGGCAGTATTGTTGAATAAGAGAGTGTCTGCTAAAGATTTCGCTGGAGATTTGGTCATACATTTATCCAGCAGTTTTGTAGGATTGATGGGTAAGACAAGTAAAAATTTTGCCAGAGAAAATGTTCTTTGGAGAGTTTATTTACGGCTGTCATACAATTACAGAGATATAGGGTGTGAAAAATCGAGATTTTTCAACTCTAAGTCGCTGAGAAACATTCTCCGTGAAAGTAACTATAGAAAAGTTTTATTTTTTTATGAAATGAGAGTTACCTCAGCTTCTATACATATACACAAAGTTCTGTACCGATTCAAAGCAGCTCACCTCAGTACGAAATTGCTTCGTTTCCGAGATACATGGTGGTAAAGTTGTAGAATAAAAATCGAGTTTCTCAGAATTTATGAATATGTTTAAACGTATTACTGCAAGAATTCATATCCATGGATTTTTTGGGATGCGAAACACGAATACGGACACTTTTTCACTGTGGTCATCAGAGGGCGCTTACCAATGGACTTCTTATGGCTTAGAATAATAACCCCAATTTTTTTCTCAGTGTAGTTTCATACTTTATCATTGGTGAGAAAATAATTTTCTGAACATTCTCAAGAAGAACACATACTCTTCGGAAAATTCGCTAGAAGTAAGACGATTTCGAGATATTTCGATGTTTAGTGTTCAATAATAGGGGTTTAATGCAGCACCGGAATATTTAAAAATTCAAAATATTTCGGAGAAAAAAGTTGCTGTTATCTTCGTGGATGTAATTTGATCAGTAAATTAGCAGTGCGAAAATGGATTCTTCAAAATACTTACTTATTGGAGTGTATATACTTGTCAATATTTATTTCTTATATCTTCACCACCCTGTATCTCGGAAACGGAGCAATTTCGGACGGAGGTAAGTTGCTTCAACCCAGGTAGCTCAGTAATTATCTCACCTTTTCATTCAACGAAATTTGAGTTTTCATATACGTTTCTCTAGAAGTGAAACTTTATTTGCCAACTTCTGGTACGTTGCAATTGAGCTACTTTTATTTCGCTTACATCTCGCCGACGCTCGCTACATAATTTTAGTTACTAATATGAATAGCTAATGTTATACCCACTAATGATAACGCCAGAGAATCGAACAGGATTACACCCGGAGGGACCAACTCATCAATTAATCTCATCAAAGGGATATTCTGCAATTGATATTGGATATACTATAACAAAATTCATTTGCTTTCACTCTCTTAGAGTATCATATATGTCTGAACAAACTCCAATCCACTTTGTCGTGTCCAAAATATTTTCGGAAATTGGAATTACCTATCAAAATATTGTGATGCTCATACCAAACCAATTGAATGCATGTTTGACTTGAACGAAAAACAGTGACTCAGCTCTTCATCACTGTTAAAAGAATCAATATTTTATTTCCCCTAGATGAATATCTACAGGGTGTTTCACAGATAAAGGGAAATATTTCAATGGTACATAGGGGTCACCAAGGTGGTTCTGAAAATACCATTTTTGATAGGTCTTAGAGTCTTCATGACGGAGATACAGGGCGATTTATCGATTTCGAATAATTATTCATTCGTCTATAAGTATTGAACTACCCAGTATATTTTTCTAAAATTTGGCATGGAGCTTATACTTGTGACGTTGAATTCATTCACCTATCGGGCGAAGTGAAAATCCAGGTTCGGCTTCAGGAAAAACTTACATTTATTCGAAATATCAAAATAACACACTGTTTGTAATAATTGACAGAGTTCATCAAAGGAATCGTGAAGAGGAGGAAAAACTGAACTGGATTTGATGCTTTTTGTTTTCCTGCCACCAATTCTCATCGTAACAATCATAAACAGGAAGCTAAAACTATGTCAATTTCAAGAGTATTAAAATTATGAAACCAGTTTCAATTATGATTATTTGATATATTCTTGTTGAATGATCGTTCGAAAGAACTTACTAAGTCTCACAGTCTTTATAACAGAGATACAGGGTGAATTATCGGTTTCGAATAATTATATTCACTCGTCCATAAGTATTTAACTACCCATCGCAGTAATATTTTCTCAAATTTGGTATTGAGCTTACTTGGGACGATGGATTTATTGACCTATCAGGCAGAATGGAAATACCAGGTTCAGCTTCAGGAAAAGTCTCATAGTCTTTATAACAGAGATACAGGGTGAATTATCGAATTATAATTATTTGGTTTTATTTCCATTCCGCCTGATAGGTTAATGAATCCATCGTCCCAAGTAAGCTACATACCAAATTTGAGAAAATGTTACTGGGTAGTTTTATATACTCATGGACGAGTGAATAATTATTCAAAACCGATAATTCACCCTGTATCTCCGTTTTTAACACTGTGAGACTTAGTGAGTTGTTTCGAGCGATTTTTTGACACTGGCTTCATAATTTTAATACTCTTTTTTCTGTGACGGGAAAAAAGTTTGGCATTTCATCTCTGTTGGCAGGTTATAAAATGTCACTTTTCATAAATTACTTTTTTCCCATGGGAAAAAAGTGAGTACTTCTTTCCCGAATATATATCACATAATTATATATACTCTGTTAATGGCTTTTGTTGTGTGTGCTATAGTTCCGAAAAATGAGTCAATAATACCGTCTCCGAGAAAGAACGGCAAGTCCTTTTATCTTCCATTCGACTTCGCGGTTTCGTATATTACTGAACAACTACTGAATTCGCAATTTTTTAAAATCAAATCACAGAATTGAACTGACAGAAGTGACATCAGATATTTGATTACTTCAAAAGAATGATAAAGATGCCTATAAAACGCAGGTGTCCCTACTGTTAAAAACTTGAAATTTCACGTCATAATTTTCAGATTTCGAAATAATGTAATATCTTCTCAATATTGATTCGTCCTTCCTTCCGTCACAGAAAAAAATAGTGTATTATACACGGGAAAAATATTAGATTTTAGCTGACGGTTTTTTGTCTCCCTCCGCTACGCGTCGGGAGACAACACAACCTGGAGCTAAAATCTACTACTTTTTTCCCTTGTATAATAAATAACTATCAAATTGACATACTTTCAGCTTTCTGTTTATGATTGTTACGATGAGAATTGGTGGCGGGAAAACAAAAAGCATCAAATCCAGTTCAGGTTTTCCTCCTCTTCACGATTTCTTTAATGAACACTGTCAATTATTACATACAGTGTGTTATTTTAATATTTCGAATAAATGAAAATTTTTCCGGAAGCCGAACCTGGATTTTCACTTCACCCGAGTGAATGAATTCAACGTCCCAAGTATAAGCTCCATACCAAATTTCAGAAAAATATACTGGGTAGGTCGATACATATAGACGAATGAATAATTATTCGAAATCGATAAATCGCCCTGTATCTCCGTTATGAAGACTCTAAGACCTATCAAATATGGTATTTTCAGAACCACCTTGGTGATCCCTATATCTACCATTGAAATATTTCCCTTTACCTGTGAAACACCCTGTATACAGCCACTGCCTGTGCCTCATTTATGTATGTAATTATATATAATTATTGTAGTATATTTATTGTCCTTCAAGGTGCGATGTTTTTGGGTAGACGATTGATCAAATTGAAGGACCTCGATGAGCATTCTCTTGGACGTGAACAGAGTGGGAATACTATAATGGGTTATGTATTTATCCTTTTTGGATACCTTGCCTTCAGTTTACCTACCCCCCTGTACCAGTCAATGAGAATTCCTGATAACTACATAGGAATCATAATGATCAATAACATGGTAGCTTTTGCAACAGGTGAGCAATGGGCACTATCACCATGTTAAAATACTGTGTGGCTCAGTGGAATTGTTCTTTGGGTATGGGACATACTGGTATATATTTGAAATATAAGTCAGATTTATTTTTACGTTTTTATATGTATATGTACCTATAATGAATGAACACGAGAGTGAACTATTCCTGAAATTGTTAAGCTCTTGTGATGTTCTTAGTAAAAATAACCAAGTTATTCAACTATAACTGTACAGGGTGAGCCAAATTGGGCACTTTCAAAGGAAAAGTCCTATTCCGGTGCAAGATGGAAAAAAGTGATGTCGGCAGTGCCGGATTAATACTCCCTTACGCCGGGGGCTAACTTTTACGATGTCGCCGCGCCGCCGCCAAATATTTAATTTTCAATTGTCAGTTGCAAAATTCAAATAATTCTTTCACTGCTTTTTTAACAGCCTATATAACAATACCATGAAATCATTATGTATAACGAATCAAATCATATTTACTCCACACGTTAAACATAACAACAACCAACAATTTTTTTTTTTTCAGATGAATACTAAAATACTTTTCTTGATTTTTTTGATGCAAAGTCGTCCGTCAATGGCATCATCAAAATTCAGATTTAATAACATGTCACTGTTTATACTTGAAATTGATAAGATATTCAATATATCCTCTACCATGGAATTCCTAAGGTAGTTTTTCACTCTTTTTAAAGTTGAGAATGACCTTTCACCACTGGCATTACCAATTATCAGGGATAGTAAAAACATTCTCAGTAATTGCCAATATTCAATGAATTAGGAATTTGTTGTGATTATCCCTAAAACAACGCTTAGTCGTATTTTGATCATCTTTATTTGAGATTCTTACTCTTCTTTTTCGCGTTTTGAATTTAAAAAAATATAAAACTTACCATTTCCGTCTTGAGATCGTGAAGTTCCCGAGGACGGTTCTGTCGGTTCTGATTCTGTCTCATTTGAATTCAGAAAAAATGAATGTGTTTTAGGGCATTTCTTGACAACTTCGTCTAGCTACTTTTGTTTATTGATCTTCTGCCGTTTCCAGAATGCACCACCTTCTTTTTTACTCATTTTTTTAAATTTAAGTTTCAATATTTATTCATCATTAGTATACCATTACCAACAATACCAACGACGACCTATCAAATACTGAAGTCTGATTTTGTTTTTTGTTATTGAGTTAGACGAGTAGAATGCGGTTTTTCTTCTCATCATCAAATAAAAGTATGTACAGTGTGTCCAGTTTTCGATGTTTTGTGGGATATCTCAGTTATCTTTGGAGATAGAACCTTGCGGGTTTCGCGGTCGTGTGCCACTTTTTTGTGAAACTCAAGATGGCCTAATCAGATTTTGCATAACTGTTTCCGTTTATGAGATACAGGGCGATTTTGAAAATTTATACTTTTTGGACCCCCTCTATATATCTACGAAGTTTCTCAGCAAAAATGTCAAATTGAAATCTCATCCCATATAAAAGTTCACGCAGAATCCAGTGGCGCACTCAAAATTTTTTTTCGGGGTATGGTTTTGGAGTTACGACTCAAACTTATGATTTTTTAAATGGAACACCCTGTATTTTATGAGCTCATAAAATTCCTCATTTTTTTCTATTCGAAATGATTTATAATGTATGTATATAAAATTTTCAAAAATGCTCTGAAATCACTGAAACATTGAATTTTAATAGTGGGCTATGGTTTTTTCTTATAAAAAAGTTCCAATTGAAGGAATATTCATTTTGATTTTTTCATAAAGAGGAAAAAAACTATACCAACACTAATCAACTAAGAAAACACAAAAATTATGTACCTGATAGCAACAAATAAATAGTAATAAAAAAGTTCATAATGTAGAATAAGCACCAGATCAAATATTTACAAAAACAATTGAATTTCGGAATTATTCAATACCTTATTCACTGAATTGTTCAAATTGATGTCCATTTCCCATAACACACAATTGACACAGTTTCTCAATACGCTTGATACAGTAAGAGTCACAAATATCTTGAAGAACTTCGTGCAACAACAGAGGCAGTTTTCCAGGAATTACAAAGACATCCTTTAATGATTTTGAATGCATTAAGACGTATTGAGAAAGCGTGTGAGGGAAAGTGGACATCAATTTGAACAATTCAATGAATAAGTTACTATTCAATTGTCTTAGTGAATATTAAATCAGGTGCTTATTCTAGAATATGAACTTTTTATTACCATTCATTTGTTGTTATCAGGTACCTAATTTTTGTGTTATCTTAATTAACTAGTGTTGGGATTGTTTTTGTCCTTCTCATGGAAGAATCAAATGAAATATTCATTCAATTGGAACTTTTTTTAAATGAAAAATCTATAGCCCATAATTAAAATTCGATGTTTTAGTGATTTTGGAGCATTTTTGAAAATTTTATACCTATTCATCATATTTCATTTTGATGAAGAAAAAATAAGGAATTCAATGAGCTTGTAAAATACAGGGTGTTCCATTTAAAAAATCATAAGTTTGAGTCGTATCTCCGAAACTATACCCAGAAAAAAAAATTTGAGTGCGCCACTGAATTCTGCGCAAAATTCTGTATGGGATGAGATTCCAATTTGACATTTTCGCTGAGAAACTTCGTAGATATAGAGGGGGTCCAAAAAGTATAAATTTTCAAAATCGCCCTGTATCTCATAAACGCAAACAGTTATGCAAAATCTGATTAGGCCATCTTGAGTTTCACAGAAAAGTGGTACAGGACCGCGAAAACCGCAAGGGTCTATCTCGAAAGATAACTGAGATATCACGCAAAAGCATCGAAAACTGGACACACTGTACATGTACATGTTATGATTTTCACGAAAACAGTATCTCAACCAGTCAACAACTGTATTTCTGCTTGCTTTTCTTCTTTTCTCTTTTTCTCTAGCGCCTCGTAAAATTCACCGCCGGGGGCCGGGGGCTGATAGTCCCATAGCCCCCCCCCCTAAATCCGGCACTGGATGTCGGTGCCTGTTGATCAATTCATATGCCAAACATAAAGGTAAACCCGCATATCGAAATATATATTTTTATTTCAGAATTACAAGGTGTTTTAAAAAAATGTGAATTTTTGAAAAGTGACTAAGAATCTTTTCTTGCCAAAAACTCTTCGTTTTCGTGAAAACAGTTTCATAGCATTGTGTTTGTCATGAAAATTGATCCTCAGACACTGAAATCAGTCACCATCATATACCGAGTTGCAAAATAGAACTTTTTTTCAAGAAGAACAATAGGTTATATTTTTGAACTAGATATAGGAAGGCCGATTTCAGTGCCTCGAGAACAATTTCCATCACAAACTCATGCCAAAAAAATAACTGTAGTCACTTTTCAAAAATGCCCATTTTCGAAAAACACCTTGTAACTCCGAAACGAAGACAGATATCGATATGTGGATTTTACCATTGAGTTTTTCATGAGAATCGACCCTCAGGCACCGACATCAGTTTTCTTCCATCTGGTTCAAAATAGGACTTTCCCTTCAAAAGTGCTCAATCTGGCCCATCCTGTACAATTTGATTAATTCTGGCAGTTTTCCATCAGAGCCGGTAGAGAAAAACTGACCCAGTGTTCTGGAGCCCGATTTTTGTGAAACATGAATCAGTTGTTTTCGGCAGTATTTCCTATTCACAAGACAGGTATGGAGAAAAACTGATCAAGTGTTATGTAGCTGGATTTTTGATGAACGTCGATTGGTGAAAACAGCTCTTCGATATCTCTAACCGTGTCCTAGGTATAGGCAAAAAATGCCATTTGACAGGTTTTGAAAACAATTTCATAACTTTTTCATTTCCAAATGGTAAAAATTAACAATCAATCTGCACGTACTATTTGACGTAGAATTTGATACATCTGCAAAAATATATCGCTAATCAATAATACTGTTTGATATCAAATCCAACTTTATTATTTCAAACAGAAACCATAGTCGGCTTTGACTTCAGAATATCGGAAAAAAAATTTAATATCACTCTTACTTTGCCATCTTATCATTCGTTTTCTTGTTTTTCATCACTTGATCGTTTTATAATCATTTATTTAACAGACAAACATTTGGTTTCCATGTCTACTATGGTTTCTATTTGAAATAACGTTGGCTCTGATATCAAAACAATATAATAAGCCATATATTTTCTTGGCAATAATAGAGCTCTAGACCCCTCGCCCTCTGGGTCAGTTTTTCTCTACCTGCTCTGGAAATGAGAAAAACTAACAAAATCAAGCAATTTTGGACCCCTGTGTGCATGTAAATCTGCTTTTTTCGATGTTACTTTCGCCTCTAAAATGTGTCGCATACATTTTAAGTGATTTGTGGAAGAAAACAGTAGGTGTATTTCTTTGTTTCAGGTATTATTCTAGTGAGCCTCCTTCACCTCATCATATACCGAAAAATTTTCACTTACTGGATAATCCTGAGATGTCTTCAAGGAGGCATAGCAGGTGTGATATCAGTAGCGGCAGGCGTCGATATTTACAGCCCCTATGCTTGTATAGCCATCGCCACTGTCGCATCCGTATTTTTCTTCTTCTTCTCCATACTCGTCCACAATACAGCACTCGAAGACTATTGCAACTTCACCTCTTCGCATCTGGTCTGTTCTGTTCTGGGCTCGATGGCCTGTCCCCTTCTGGCTCAAAAAGAAAACTTCGGGGTTTCCGCAAGGAAAATTCACGTATTGTGGCAGTTTATTTGTCTTATCGCTGTGAGTGCCTTGACCCTCTTTTTCGCTTGGCTCGTGTTTCTCTTCCTTTCCCTTGGTGAACTTCTGCGAAGCAAACGGGAGGTGATGAACCACCAGAGAGCCGTGGTGGTCCAAAAATATTTGCCGAAGAGGGCGTTTCTGGAGAGGCTGTTCATGATTGACAGTAATACAGATCATATCGAACCTAGTGAGACGGCCAGGAACAGTTTCCTCCGTCTGGAAGGTAGCAAGGATGGAGGAAGGTCTGGCAGAGAAGCGGTAATCAGGACGGTGAATTATGAGAAACAACGACCAATGAAGCTGAACAGGTTCAAAAAACTAACTGTACATAACGCGGATATAGTTTCAGAAGCGAACATTCCTCTTCAACCTATTGTTATGAGTGATAATCGAAATGGTGGTGATGAGGATATTGCAGAGACTTATGTTGAAACCAGTTTGGCTTCCAAAATTCGGATATATCCTATGAAAGAAAATTTAGAATAAAGAAATAATGCTAATTTATACCTATACATCAGCTAGCTGTTACCATTTTCAGTTAATAAATTGATAAAAATGTGAATCATATTCTCAATAATATGAATATACAGGGTGGACGAACAGTGTCTCTAACAAAAAGGGCATCCATCAATGGATTTCCATTTTAGGTCCAGAAATGGTTCGAATGTCCGTCGTTCGAGGTCAATTTGAGGTTATGTGTAATGATTACTTTTCAATTGTTTTCTCAAAATATTTTGAGATACGTGTGCGTGTTCTTTCATTCATAATTTTTTAGAGAAATCGTCCATCGTTATATATGCTTTCCCAAGTAACCTAATATGCAGTGAAATAGCGATTGAAGAATGAACGTTGTATGAATCAGCTATTTAAGCTAATAATAAGCTATCGAAGTAATACTAAGGATGTATCATAGCAGGGCTAAAGCAGCTTTACTTTTAGACTCATTGGGACCAAATTATCGAAGAGGAAATATATTCAAAATATATATTATGGGAGAGTTTTATTCATATTGTCCAAAACTTATACATAAAATGTACAATTCATGTACAGTCCCAGTAAACACAAATATCCCTGGGATGTCACATTCATGTCTCGCTAGGTAACAACGCGAATTACAAGAAAATATCATTGATATTGCCAGGAGAGTCTTTATTTCACAAAACATTCGCAATATTCATCACATTTCGTAGGATTAGAGACATATGAAATGTAAGTGGATTTGTGAGGCTCCCCAACAACCAAGAGACGCACTGGAACCCCACATGCTTGCCTGCTATTTATGTTGAATGAGGAGTCGCTTAATACGTACCTACTGTGAGTTTCATTTGACATCATAATGAATGACCAAAAGGGTCCGAAATAGCAGTCATTGAGATTTCGGTGGGACTCTCAATTGGAGTTGATGTGAGGCATAAATGTGATGCCCTCTTAAATATCTCTGAGATCAATCTGTGTTAAATGGGGTGTTTGTACAATACAGGCGATATTTGACGGATTAGTTTATTTTAATGAATTCTCTACACCCGCCTAAAAAAAATCGTCACTTTTGAGAACACCCTACCTATATACAGGGTGTCCCGAAATTCATGAGAAGATTTCAACCACAGAATCTAGAAAGAGCGAAATAGTAAAACAATGTCATGTGTTGAGATAACGGAATTTTGTTATTGTATATTATACTTTTCATGCCCGATTTGGAAATAGTATGGATTTTCCGAAATTTTGATCATGGGTGTGGGAAATAGGTAGTGGCTTGGGGCATTGCTTCCCCAACTATTTTTTCTATGCAATTTTCGGCAGTTTGAGCAGGAGATACGAAAATATCATAATTTTCACTTAGAAATTATACCCTTGTTTAGTTTCCATGGCACTCACCATTTTCGAGATTTTAAAATTTAGCTGCGTAACAAAAATAGTGGCTTTTCTCGGACATTCAACATTCAGGAAAGGTGTACTTTCTCTGCCAAGGCAGGAAATGTTTGTTGCTATATATGCAACGTTCCAAGTAATTCGAATGAAATCGGTAATCAAAATTGACACTGACATTGGGTGAACAGAAAATGATAGTTTTCAATTAAAAAATTACACAATAAGGTTTTATATCATTATTGAAGAAAAAATTATGTTCCACACGGAACAAAATGTGTAGATTATTGATTGCCTTTTGGATGAATTCCTAGCCTAGCTACGCTCGCCTATATGAACTATGAGCTGCGGCAGCAGTCAACTACTTTCCTGATGCCTATATAAATATTTTTCAACATCTATACTTGTAATGTTTGACTCAAAATATGAGAGGAACAATAAAAATAATAATTTCAAATATATTATGGTAGGTACTATTTTTATTACGCATCACAGCAACTGGCTTTCAAAATCGATTTATCTCGATAATAGAAGTGCTATCCAAACTTAACAGGAGTAACATTTTCAGGTAAAAATGATGATATTTTCATATTTCCTGGCAAAACTGCCGAAAACCGCATAGGAAAAGATAGGGAGGAGGCGCCTAACCCCGCCTATTCCCACGCCTCTAATCAGAATTTCGAAAAATTCTCAACATTTACCAAAATCGGACACGAAAAGTGATTTACATGAACAAAATCTCGTTATCTCAACTTCTCAACACAGAAGGTTTGGGAAATATTTACGAAAAACCATCATCACTGGCTGTTTCTCCAACAGCCATCAACAACCACAATCATGAATGATAATGATTGAGTGCCACGTGACCGCTTTTGATGCGGCTTCCCTTTTCCACCCATGTTAAAGAGATACGACTGTATTCTTGGTTGCATATTAATCAGTCACGTAGTTTGCAATCATTGTTGAAGTCCCTATAGAATCTGTGGTTGAAATTTTTGTATGTAATTTCGAGACACCCTGTATACAAACCTCCCAAGACCAAGAGCTCGTGCGAATATAGCCGCACTAAGTGCAATTTCTGCGAACCAGTTCCCCAATGGAACAGAAGATATTCAACTTGTCCGACCAATGACACAAATTACGCATTCAGTGTGCACTGCCAGGCATGCATTCAAATTTACCGTAGGTTCGTACAGGACCTCAAAACTCATTGAATTGACTTTGACATATGGACGATAAAAGCACTAAAAGATAGCGAATCCAAGAATGCAAACCTTAGAACTTTTGGAAGAGAACTAAGAGAAGATAAGTCTCAGACGAATCAAAAAAATAGATAAAAGAAACTAAAGAAAGGGTTAAGATCTAAAGAAGGATTAAAAGGAAGAAGGTGAGTGAACATTGATAAAAAAGAAAGTGGAAACAATAATAAATAAAAGTTCATATTATTTCCCTGAAATTTCAAAAACAAGTTGTGGGAATGTGAAATGTTAATATACAGGTTGGTTCATAATTTCAAACTATTGCACCTATTTACTTGTTTCTGGTTTTCAGATTGTGGATCTTGTTCTTCCAGTCTCCATGGATTACACCTTGCAACAAGAATCAAACTCTGTTGATCTAACAGAAGATGAAGATAGTAGAGAAACTATAGTAGACTCTGAAATAGGGAACTGGCCCTATAGTTTTGAAAAGCAAAATAGAAATTTCCCAATGAAGAAATTCTCGGCAAATTCACTTCCTCCTCTCACACCAATTCCTCGTTTTGACTCTTTAGAGAGGCCAAAGGATCATGGGCTATACAATGTTCCAAAACTAACTAAAATTCACAGAAGAAGCATTGCACAACAAAGTTCACCAGCCAAAAAAGTAAGAGTAATTTCATCTACTGTAATTAAACCTCCTTTGGATACTGTTAGCTCAGAAGATGCAGGGTCCAAAATTGTTCAAAGTGAAATGGGAAATCAGGTTTCAATCATTAGCTGCTCATTGTCTCAAAATCCACCTGGAAAGTTATTGAAGATAATGAAAAATAAGAAAATGTATGAGTATGTAATACCTCACAATGTGATGCCAATGGCTAATCAAAGTGCAGGTCCTGTTTTATTGAATATTCCTGAAGTGGGGTCTATAGTTATCAGTATTGATCCACATTCAAGAAGTCAAGTGGTTCCTAAGAATGTACAGTTAGAGCCTTTTTCCTTGAATTTTGATGAAATCATAGAAGCCTCTGATAGATCTTACAATTCTCCAATCAGTCATTATGCAGTCCCTTCACAAGCATCAACCAATATAGGAATGATGAGCACACCATATTCTCATTATGCAGGTGCTAGACAAATACATACTGCAGTCAGTCCTATTAAAACTTTGTCTAAGGCTTCATTTGTCCATGAGGATATTCTAATGGATAAAAAGTTTTGTTGGCAATATTCGAAAACCAAAAGGAAGGAACAAAGGGTTTTGAAAAATATGCTGGGATTCAGCAAAGTGGAGGTTCGAAATACAAAAAAATGCAGTAGACAACTGGATTTTCAAATATATGAAAAGCATTGCCAACTTCTGGAGAAAAAGGTATTATTAGAAAGTTTCCAGGAACCTTCCACTGTTACTGGTTATTCCTTGAAAGATATCCCAAATGAAAATAGAGTTTCTCGTCCTAACCATGTTCCTGAATGGTTGAATGAGTTTGATAAAGATCTTATACGAAAAACCAATTTTGATGACTTGCTTGTAACCAAAAAAGTTGTGATATTGAATGAAGAAAATAGAGAAATGCCTGAGCTGATTCCAAAGTTATACTCATCTACAAGACAAAACCATAAATCAAAACAAAAGAAAACACTGGAAAGGCTCCAAATTAAAGAAATTCAAAAGCATACTGAAAAGAAAAATGGAATGAAACCCTGTTACATCAAGATGATGAGAAACCCAAACATTGATAAAATGTATCATGACCTTATGAGAAAAATTAATTCCACTAAAAAGGTTTCACTGAATTCCAAGTCTCCAAAAAAATTAATGTCTTATGAAAAAATGTTTCTATCAAAATTAATTGACACTATACATAAATTCAGGACAGAAATGGCTTTCATCAAACCTGTTCTGGTGCTCAATGAATTCAATTTCACAATAGTAAAGTACTCTGTGGAATTTAGTAGGAGTAATATTGTTTTTGCTGTTAATCAAGACAGGTATTTTCCCAATTGTCTCTTGCATGATCATTCATTTGTAACGGCAGTGCAACTAGGTTATGTCAAGCTAGTGGATGCCAATATTTTATGTAGCTACTTCATGGGAGAGCTTGGTCCCCTGAGTCCTAAGAGACTAGATGATACATAGTTGGATTTTTAATATTTTCTTGGTTTTCTATTATTGAGGCATTGAGTCAATATCATCAGAATATTCACTCAAACATTGAAATTTGATTTCATTTAAGTTTCTGATAGTTCTATAATATCATGGAATACTAACAGAGTTGGGATATATCATCTTTCTATGTGTATTTACAATGGAAAGTGAGGAAATATATTTTCAACATGTCCAGTGATGCTTCATCTATGTCATGAAAACACTGCAAGCAAATTGTTATAAATACATGAGGAACTGATCTCTATTTTTCTTTCATGATATATTTGTACACATTCCAAAAAAAGTTACCTACTCAAATATTAACTTATGATACAGTTTGTATCGTTATTCAAAATATTAAATTTGTTTTTATTTTTCATTTAATGTGATAAAAAATGGGGGAGTGTGTAGCTTGCAGCAATTTTCATGTGCCAGCCTGAATGAATATCTTATGTTCATTTTCGTTTTTTTTTTCTGCTCTGATTTGGGAATTTCTAATTATGGAACACTTTCAAATTTTTTACTGATTTTACTTCAAGCAGCGTTTATATAGACATTATTTAGTAATACCATGATCTTTGGTAACATTTATACCTATATTTACTCATGTTCATATTGACTGAACTTTACTGCTTTTCATTTTCAATTTTCCAATATAAGAGTTGTGACTTCAGCAGTGGAGGTGAAACATTTAAGAAAATGGATTTACTGACTTTCAAAACACCTATTTCAAGTCCTTATTTCTATATCACCCTGTATAAATGAAAAACACACATTTTTATACCAGCCATGATTTTCATGAAAACGATTTTTTGAAGCAGGTAATCAGGTGTTCCACATATTAGGGCCAAACTATTATACAGTACCTACATCTCTGGTGAACAATTTGTTTATATCAAATAAAGATTCTTAGGTACCTATTTGACTTGTTTCATACATGCCTTAGTAATTATAAAACTTAATTAGGAATAAGTGTGTATCTTTAGTATGTAGGTAACTGATCTGTTGAGAAATATTTTATTTTTAACAAATAAAGCTGTTGATTTCATATAAAATATAGAAGTGGGCTTCAATGTTATCCTAAGGAACCAATAACCTATATTAAATGTTTTGAATGAAAGAAATAGAAAATATAACGTATCAGTGACATTACCCAATAGAGTTCAGCCAGGTAGATACTGTCATCACAGTCTTCAGGTTTCCTTCAACAACTTTTTTATACTGAGATTGAAATGGTTTTTTCAATCCCTCCTCATTTTTTGTGTAGCTAACATGAAATAATTCAAAAAATAGAATAGAAGCATCCTGCTTGAGAATTATTCTTTTCCCGGAAATAGATTTAGATATAACAAATGAGTAATAATAAATATTTTATTAAAAACTTTAAGCAACTGGATAATTACCATTGAAAATCTATCTAACATGTATTTCAGCTTTCTTCTTGCTGCTGACATTGAATGTCATCCCTAACTTATGCTGCATTTCTTGCCAAGTACTAGAAGATATTTCACTAGCTTTTTCTTGTCCTATTTTCAATACTTCCATTAAATAATGCTGGTCAGAGAGATAATCTGAAATCCTTTCCTGAATTGGCCTCAAATATTCTACAACTGCATCAGCAACAAGAAGCTTGTATCTGGAAATTAAAAATTGAATCATTATTGGGACAACAATAAATAACTGAATTGTGAATTTTCCACAATTCTTTTGGCATTCTGTTTTCAATTATATATTTTTTTAGATTTTTTTCAGTCGATTTCAAAGTGTTGAAATCATCATCAACATTATCACGGTAATTTTCAAACGGCTAGAAATTGACCGCATATAAAAACTGACGTCACGATTTCGTAAGTATAGGGGCGGACCCTATATAATATATACAATTCCCCTGTCGCGGTGTTTGTTGCCAAACTCCTCGGAACCATTCTATCAAAAATTTTTGTTACATTCGGTATTTCTGAAAATTGGTCTTAAAACTATTATGAAATTCGAAATGGCGGATCCAATATGGTGGACGAGGACTGGTCCGATTCTAATCAAAATTGGTATCTGGGGGTTTACGGAGTCTGGGATTATGATATTCCTTTGTCAAAATAAGCAAATTCAAAATGGCGGATTCAATATGGTGGACGAGTTTCGTAATCCGATTCTATTCAAAATTGGTTTCGGGAGGTTTTCGGAGTTGGAGATTATGTTTATTTCGACAAAATTTGAAAATTCAAGATGGCGGATCCAATATTTGGCGGACGAATTTTGTAATTATGATCCGATTCCATTGAATAAAACTTGTATCTGGGGGTTTTTGGGGTCGGAGGTTATGATTCATTCGTCAAGATTTGGAAATTCAAGATGGCGGATCCAATATAGATTCGAAAAACTAAGAAAACACGCTTTTATGATTAGTGAAACTGAAAAGAAGTAGAAAATGAAATGTGTTAAATATTTAACAAAAAATAATTTCTAATAGTAAATATAGAAAACAAGTTTGCCGGGTCAGCTAGTGTTGAAATACGAATGGGAACTTCAGAAATATTATTCAATAACTCATAAATCAGCTATAAAAAACCAATTGTGTTGTAATCGTGTTAATGACAATTATATTAAGAGCAGATTCTCTCTGGTGAACATGACAACACAGGATTGTTGGCGTTGTCTTGTCAGTTCTCCTTAGCGTTTAGCACATCATTGCCAAATCTCTATAGCCTAGCCAACAGTTACATGATGTTTTGTTATGGAGTATGAGAAATGTTTTAAAGAACTGGTTGCTCAAAAAAGTCACAAATTAATAACTGACATACAAAGTACCTACCTCATTGATGTATAGAACACAGTAAAACAAGACCAATCTTGTGTTATAGCCATAGAGAAAGTAAATTACTAATTGATGGTTTTCAAGGTTTATAATAACATTCAGCTGTCAAACCCTGTATATGTATATCTCAAACTATAAACACTTGAAAACCTCATAATACTAATTTATTATTCTTTATATTGCCCAGTGGAACATTTTCAATCAAATTTCCAAACACCCTGTATAAAATGTAGTGGATGCAAGATGGATTTTGTGTGGGAGTGATGTTTTTCTATTTCAAAATATAATAATCAGTAGAGTTGAGAGTAAGATTTCCATGAAAATATTAAAATTTTCTCAGGAATTTATAACAAAATATCAGAACCATTGAGCAGTTCAATTGCAAATTTCAGTTTGTAACAATGGGAGTTCAGTAAAAATATAATCATTTACACTCTATTGGGCTACTATAAGGTAATCTTGAAATATCAGATAGGGCGAGAATCATAGTGAATTTGTATCATTTTATCACGAATAGTTAGTTTTTAAATCTTACTGTCCAGTGTTGATGTTCTGAGCCTCCTTGCAAATCTCATCTACTGTTTTGCCAGTAACAAAGGAATGTATGCTGATGAGGTTTGACACACCAGGTCTCTGCTCAATATCATAATTAACCTCAGATGTGCAATCAGTAACAGATTTCTTGATATTCCTGACAATGTCTTCAGGTTTATCTGTAATACATATCCTACTTTTGGGATCAGTATCAGACTTGGACATCTTTTTTGCTGGATCTCTGAGACTTCTCAGTCTGGCATAATCTGTGCCTAAAATCAATTGCACAATGACAAAATTTATAATAAATGAGTGTTTCTTTCAATTAAAATAAGCATTCCAAGACAATGGTTTTGATATTTACTGTGTGAAATTTCATCAGGTACCTGTAATGAGGGTATGAGGTATAGGAAAAGTTTGTCCAAATCTACTATTGAACATTCTGGCCAGTTCTTGACAAAGCTGAATTTGTTGAATTTGATCTTCACCAACAGGAACATGTGTTGCTCTTGAAAAGAATTTCACATTATGGAGGAACAGCAGAAATAAGTTGTGAATAATAAATTGTGAGATTCAAGTAGCCATACTTTTCTTACTAAGCTGTTTAGTGGTAAGACCAACTATTAAATTGAAAATATAACAGAAGATGATCAGTCATCACTATCTTGAAATCTCAAAAGGTAATACTAATTTGTAAATCATCAAATTGGGTGTCTTACACCCATGGTCTGCTGTTTTCAATAGAAATTCCCAAATGTCCAAGTCAAAATACTAGCATAATATTAGGGTGAAACTAGTGCAATTACTTTTCCTAATATTTCTCTTCATGAGGACCATATTTTGTGACAAACTAGAGAATGAAGTATGGTTGATTGAAAATAGTTTACAACTTGAATGATCTGTATAAATCTACTATTACTTATATGCCAATATATCAGCTGCTTGCAGAACAGGGTAAATGAATAATCCTAGGGGTATATCTTTCAAATCCTTTGACTTTTCCTTGTACTGGGGAAGGTGAGCCAACCTGAAATAATTACCATCTAGTAATTAGCTTATCTCAGAAATTTGGAACAAGGAACCTTGGCATGGTGCAAATACATCCTAAACACCATGACATTTGTGTGTGTTCTGGTACAGTGGATTGCTGGAATAGAATTGCTTTTTCTGGGTCTATTCCACATCCCAATAATGTGGCAGTAATTTCCAAAATATTTCTAGACAATTTCTTTGAATCCTGAAATAGTCTATTTTATAAAACAAGTGGATAAAGCCCATTCACAGATTACATGTGGTATAGTCATAGAATGTAAATCTGCTATACTGAGAATCATGTCTTCCCCATTATTTTGCAGCTTAACCCACTGTGCAATTGCTCCTAGATAATTTCCCAGATGTATTGCACCAGTTGGCTGAATTCCTGAGAATATACGTTTTGGGTACTGAGACTGAGTTTGGAGATTATTCTCAGAAGCCTGAAAAATTGATACTATTTGAATTCACCAGTGCACTTGGTTTATTATCAAGATTCATACATCTGATGACAAGTATCTGTGGAAAGATTTTGATTTTGGAAATTGATGAAAAATTCTGCCAACTATTGACCGCATTTGTAACACTCGTCGTCGTTAATGAAAAAAAATTAATAAAAAGAGGCCAAAATAAGTTTCCTATTTTTCCTTTTTTTTGAATCTTGGTTGACATAACATAACCTAAAAGACTTTTGACTTTTCATTCTTCTCTTTTCACTTCTTTTCGTTCTTTCCGAGTCTCTTCTTTGTTTTTCTACTTATTTCTATCTGTTGACAAGGTCGGACCGTTTAGGTAGTTCAAATAAATTTCTTTCAGTTTTGCAAAGGTGACAATAGTTCATTCATACAAAAGGTGCGAAATGTAAAACTTGTTTCAAGTTTTAATAGGGTCCCTTGTTGGAAATTCACGTTGAAGTCTGTCGCATATTATTATGGGCTTATATCACAAACATTTTTTTATTCATAATTCGATAGAACTCACTCAAACAGTCAAACTAGGTCACCACGCAAACCGTTTCTTGCTGTGAGTTCCCTATGGTTTATATAAAATTATTGAAATCCTCGATTTTTCGGACCTCTGAAAACGAGGCGATGATGTGACGTCAAAACCCTAATACTGAAACAAGACTATTCCAGACAGAGATGAATGATACATGATTTCTGACAGAGTGAATTAGCGCGAGATCACAGTCGGAAGAATTAATATATCAGTTGCCTCAGTCTCCGTCGGGCGTTTGATATTTATTTTCTTTCAACTATGGCGAGATGAGGTTTCATAAGAGGGTCCGTTTTCAGAAGGTACTATTATTATATGTCCAAAAATAAAACATTCCAGTTAATTTTTCGATCGAATTATGTCGTCAATCATTATTTATGTATAAAAGGATCATTATAAATATGGTGTGAGTTAAAAGTTCTACTAAGGTGTACACGCCCATTGTTATCAATGCGCGGACCTTTTCATTTTCTGACGATTGTAGAAAAGCGTTCATTTATTAATAACTTAAAATTCTGTTTTACTATTTCAATGAAACTCGGTTGTTTTGTCAACAGTATAAAGAATAAAGCTTCTCATTCTGGTGTAATTAGATTCGGAATAATGATTCCAGTGGCATCGCAGGGGATTATAACCATTTCGATATTTATGGCAACGGTACATACGTCATATTTTTTTTCAAGTTCTATATTTTCATCAGATTAAATAATCGAAAATACAATTTTGGAAAGATTTTGATTTTGGAAATTGATGAAAAATTCTGCCAACTATTGACCGCATTTGTAACACTCGTCGTCGTTAATGAAAAAAAATTAATAAAAAGAGGCCAAAATAAGTTTCCTATTTTTCCTTTTTTTTGAATCTTGGTTGACATAACATAACCTAAAAGACTTTTGACTTTTCATTCTTCTCTTTTCACTTCTTTTCGTTCTTTCCGAGTCTCTTCTTTGTTTTTCTACTTATTTCTATCTGTTGACAAGGTCGGACCGTTTAGGTAGTTCAAATAAATTTCTTTCAGTTTTGCAAAGGTGACAATAGTTCATTCATACAAAAGGTGCGAAATGTAAAACTTGTTTCAAGTTTTAATAGGGTCCCTTGTTGGAAATTCACGTTGAAGTCTGTCGCATATTATTATGGGCTTATATCACAAACATTTTTTTATTCATAATTCGATAGAACTCACTCAAACAGTCAAACTAGCTCACCACGCAAACCGTTTCTTGCTGTGAGTTCCCTATGGTTTATATAAAATTATTGAAATCCTCGATTTTTCGGACCTCTGAAAACGAGGCGATGATGTGACGTCAAAACCCTAATACTGAAACAAGACTATTCCAGACAGAGATGAATGATACATGATTTCTGACAGAGTGAATTAGCGCGAGATCACAGTCGGAAGAATTAATATATCAGTTGCCTCAGTCTCCGTCGGGCGTTTGATATTTATTTTCTTTCAACTATGGCGAGATGAGGTTTCATAAGAGGGTCCGTTTTCAGAAGGTACTATTATTATATGTCCAAAAATAAAACATTCCAGTTAATTTTTCGATCGAATTATGTCGTCAATCATTATTTATGTATAAAAGGATCATTATAAATATGGTGTGAGTTAAAAGTTCTACTAAGGTGTACACGCCCATTGTTATCAATGCGCGGACCTTTTCATTTTCTGACGATTGTAGAAAAGCGTTCATTTATTAATAACTTAAAATTCTGTTTTACTATTTCAATGAAACTCGGTTGTTTTGTCAACAGTATAAAGAATAAAGCTTCTCATTCTGGTGTAATTAGATTCGGAATAATGATTCCAGTGGCATCGCAGGGGATTATAACCATTTCGATATTTATGGCAACGGTACATACGTCATATTTTTTTTCAAGTTCTATATTTTCATCAGATTAAATAATCGAAAATACAATTTTCTTGGCTCCAACTGAATTTTTGTATATCAGTTAAATATATTATATAGTTTCTGAGAAACCCTGTATAAATCTAAGGCATTTTATTACTGAGCGTGAAATATGGAACCTAATATAAAGTATAAATTAAGACTCGGATCAAGAGGAGGGAGAGGGATTGATGGTCTAAAAATTTGTTGCAAATCCGAGGAGAAAACGAAGAATAAAACACTGAATAATAAAAGTCAATATGACCAAGGGAAGAATGTAGTCGGCCCATTGTTTATTAGATTGAAAATATAAAGTGATAGACACATTACATAATATAATAATATTGTTTCCATACAAATCTAGAAATTTTGTTTAGGTATAATGCTCATATATCATACAAATGTTTGCACAAGTAACAAACACTACTTTCATTAGGTTGACAAGGCACGCAAAAATAGTTTAGAAAACTTTTATAAATTTTTAAGTACAGGGTGATTCACCATAAATGTCCCTTCCTCTAGCTCACTTATTTTTGAACCGATTTAAAAATTCGCAGAATAATCTAAAATGATTTTTCAGAAATTTTTCTTCCGTTGCATCAGAAAATACATAGGGTGCTCGGAACAAACGATATACAGAGTACTACTTGATTTTTTCAAATGGAACACCCTGTGTTTCATTGTATCTTTTTATTCTTCCTGAAGAGCTGATTCCATTAATGTATCACATTTGGGGTCTAGCGGGAACGATTACAGAGATATAGGGTGTTCAAAATCGAGATTTTTCAACTTTAGGATTTTTTTGTGCCGAAACTATTCATAATTGGTCAAAACGGCTTCTATGTTCCCATCTTGAATTTTGATTTACTGTCTACTGACATTTAATTGAAACATATACAGGGTGGTTCAAGATTCCGAATTCTGATCACCCTGTATCTGTTCCAATTATTAAATGTCAGTAGATAGTAAATCAAAAGTTAAGATATGGACATGAAGGCCGTTGTGACCGATAATGAATAGTTTCGTCCCAAAAAAATCCTAAAATTGAAAAATCTCGATTTTGAACACCCTATATCTCTGTGATCATTCCCGCTAGACCCCGAATACATTGATCAAATCAGCTCTTCAGGGAGAATCTAAAAATACAATGAAAAATAGGGTGTTCCATTTAAAAAAATCAAATAGTACCCTGTAGATCTTTTGTTCCGAGCACCCTGTATTTGCTGATGTAGCGAAAAAAAACTTCATAAAAAATCATTCAAGATGATATTCCAAATTTTGAAATCGATTCAAAAATAACTGAGCTAGAGGGGGGGACATTTATGGTGAATCACCCTGTACTTTTATAGCTAGACATTTAAACATTTTTGAATCCAATCATCTTATGTATAAATGTATACAATAACAATAATTTTTTTATATGTATCTTGAAATATATAAACTCCTCCTAGCTGCTTACAAGAAATTAGAAAAAGTTAACAAAAGTTGAATCAAATAAGTTATCAGTATTTGCATAAAACATCTATACATTTTTCTTTGCAGTTAAAAATGTTGTCTTCATCGATTTTATCTTAGCAAGTATTCCGTTTCGAGTATAATAATAAATCTCGGAATCTAATTGGTTCAGTCATTAATCCTAAAATTATTCGCATATATGAACTTTATAGGCGGCTAGGGATGGTAATTTGCCTCACGCCCTCAAGTTACGAAATAAGTAGGTATCTACTGAAATTTGATGTGAATTATTGGTACAGTCTACAAAAGTGACAAAATCTTGGGACATGAATCAATAAACTGAGCATTTATTTTCCTCTCATTCAATTATCAGATGATTAAAATCCTGGATTATCCATAATACTTATGAGATGTACAGTTGTGTGCATAAATAACAAGTCGTACAAGGTTTGTATGGTGTAAACCTGTCTATGACCCAGCGAGCACAAACATCCCTGGGATGTTTTGGGATGTTTTGAAAATGTTGGCATGAAGATGGTATTTTGAGATACGTCCATGTCTTTGAAGGATATTGAAGTATTGTTTTGTTCTTCTGTGGCATTTCTTCGTTTGCCCCACCACAACGTCTCATGCATGCTTATACGATGAATTCTGATTTGTTTTCGATTTTGTTCTTCTTGTTCGCATATGGCATACGCGTTTGCAGCGTGTCACGCTTACATCACGCTGCTAACGAACAGAAAGGAATTTGGTGAAGTTTATTGTGTTAGAAGACTTATTTAGTTTGTAATAATGACCATATCAGATGCAAGATGTGTTGTTCGGTGCCTCAGTGTAATCAATATATAAAAGTACGAATTTATCAATACACAGCTTCTCCGCAGTTGCAAAATTATGCATTGTGGAGAACATTTCAAAAATTGGGAAACCTATTTCCAATTATATGTCTGTTTGTAGTAAGCACTACTCAGAAACCGATTAAGAAGGTAATTTCATATCAAGAAAATATTTTTATGTTCAATCTATTTTTAATGCATTTTTTCATTCAAGGGAAATGGAATCCTAATGCGAAAGTTCATTTTGACAAAATAAGGCTTCAGAAAAGTACCTCGAAAATGTTTTTTTTACAGCGATTCAATGTACGCAAGACGCGTTGAAAATGTTTTGTTGTGTCCATGAAAAGGCTATAAAAAGAACTAGGGAGAAGGTAGTTTTGTGACATATCAAGGACATCTCGATAATTGCCGCCTGCGGCGGACATTGGCTGTTCTATAATAGTTCTATTCATGTGTGAACAGAACATCGCAGTGGAGGTTCAATGTCTCGAAATCTCGTACTTTTAACATCTCTGAGATGTTTTTGTGCTCGCTGGGGACGTTCCAGATTTCATCAAAATGTAGTACAAATACACATTTGCGCGTTACTGGCACAAATAGTTTGAATTTTGACACTACTTGTCAAAGTCGATAAGAAGATTAATCAAGATTGACAAGCCTGACTCACAATAGCCAATAACTGCTGCGCGATATCTTTATGCACACAACTGTACAACATACATATTTTGAATATTACTATACCAGGTTTCCCAGAGTATACCTGTTCCATCGCAATGAATTATCTAAGCTATTTCGAAAAATAAAAATTCCAATTTGTTTAACGAAGCTTCAACTGAGAAAAACAGAAATTGAAAGTCACTTCTGGTTTGACCGGAAGTGACACAAACCTTTTTATTTCGAATAGCACCCTGTATATTTATTGCAATTTTTGATTTCCACTCAAAATTACCGTTCCAACGATGTATCACATTTTGTATTTTGAATTTGATTTGATGGAGAAAACGACAATTGAAATTTCAAATTGAAGGAATTGCATAGTAGGCTACGATATTTTTGTAATTTTGATTTCGACTTCAATAATAATTTCAAATTATTAGAATTGTAGTTGATGATGTAATTTTCAAATTTTCACCTTTCGAAATGGCTGAGATAGGTAATCTATTGGAACAGGTATGCTGGGACACCCGGTATATATGCAAATCGAGTTCTGTGTGAGAGAAATTCAAGACCCAAAAATTAAAAAGATACATATTGGAATTTATAATACCTAAACATTTTTTATATACTATATATACTATATAGAGTAGTTATGCTCCAAACTTTATACAGGGTATGTCACTATAAACGAGCTTACATCTTTATATCGAGAATCAGTCAGGAGAAATCCATGAAAATGTGCATGCTTCTATTTTAGAATACGCTCTCTTCATTTAAAATATTTTCCACAATGCAGTGTTGCCGCTTCTACTAGAAAGTAGTAGCAACATGTATATTTCAAATAGAACACCCTGTGTTTTATCACATTTTTAGATTCTTCCTGAAGAGCTGATTTCATCGATGTATCACACTTGGGGTCTATCGAAAGAGATTATAGAGACATAAGGTGTTCAAAATCGAGATTTTTCAACTTTAGGATTTTTTTTTGTCAAAACTATTCATTATCGGTCAAAACGACTCATGCACATGTCCCAATCTCAACTTATGATTCACTATTTACTGATATATTCAATCGGAACAGATATAGGGTGGTTCAAGATTCAGAATTCTCTTAATTACTGTATGAAGATATATATTATAATAGGTGGGTAGGTTATTAACAGTTTTTGTGCGTTTTGTTTTCCTGGACCTTGCTGAATCTCCAACCAAAATTCTGAATCTCTGGCAAGATTTGTCAAAGATAACAATGAAGACCAAAAAGTCAAATATAATAATTTTATAAGCTAAACTAAAATATATTTTCGCTTCTAACTCTTATAATAACAAGTGAAGTATAATAAATATTTGAATCCACTAGTCTTGCTTTGTTACGAACATACATGTCCACTGATGTTCTTGATCATAGGCAACCAATCAGTGATTATGATATGAATATTCAACAAAACATAGAATATACAAAAACATCAACAATTATTTACATCTAATAAATTCGCGAGATATACAGGGTGAGTCATAACTATTGGGACATAGGCTAAGGGCGGATTGTTTGGACCAAATTATGGCGATTGGACCAAACATGCCTCAATAAGATATTGCTGTGAAAAGAGATACAGGGCGTTAAAGTTGATATTTTTCGTTTTTTGTCGGTTTTTTGCTGATAATTTTACTGTATATGTAATATATTTGAAAAAGTTTTGTGATTTGGTTGCTTTCTGTCTAGATATCAGAGATATTACAATTCATACCTTCTGTTTGCATCCCGCATTTATTAATTCATAAAATGATTGTAACGAGGCATTTCAATCGAAAAAATTTTGACTATAAACTCGCGCCAAAATTCATTGTCTGACAAGAGATGCCATTACCAGCAACATTATCTGACAGTTCAAAACACACTCTTCATGAATGAAATAATATTTGTAATTATCTTCTGAGACTCTGAACTGTTCAATAGCGTTTTTCTCGAAAACGGATGAAAATATCGTGTTCAAACAAGAGTACCAATATTACGTAGAAATGATGTTTAGGACATATTTTTTAATCAAAATCACTCAAAAGTTTCGTAGAAAAAAGTAACCAGAGGCGATTTCATCATCAGGAATCATTCTCGTGGCGCCCCCTGTATCAAAATTTAGAAAAGTACATACAATAATAATATTCCCTGTATGGAATTATGCCTCTGTGTCAATTTTGGTAACAATTGATGAATTTACAGTGAAATTATTGGCAAAAAACGAAAATAAAAAGTCAACTTCAACGCCCTGTATCATTTTCCACATCAATATTCTATAAAGGCATATTCAGTCCTATCGCCATATTTTGGTCCAAACAATCTGCCCTAAGCCTATGTCCCAATAGTTATGACTCACCCTGTATATGATAACTTTATACAATTCCCTAACAGCACAGGGATTTCCTAAGGACGTCAGTATTGCCAGGGGATGTCCCGACTGGTAGGTCCCTGGGTAGTCCCACTCATGTGGCATATCCTGATATCTATTATTTCTATCAGAATTAATATATGCAACAACAATTTACATTATTTTCATTTTTCTTTCATTCCGATTATATCTAGCTGACGCTAGCTACATAATTTTAGTTACAAATATGAATAGCTAACGATATAATCACATAGGGATTCGTATATACTAATGCATGCTAAGCATCAGGATTATCACATAATACCGTATATATATGCCTATATGTACAGGGTGCACCTCTTAAAATGGAATCCCCCCTTAAGTCATTCGTTTTCGGATATATGAAAAAATGATAAATAAAAAAGTTGTGTAAAACGACCCAAACTTTTATTTCGTGAAGTTGTTTCATTTACAGGGTCATTCGTTTTTCCAGAAAGGATGTCAACTTTGATTTTTTTCAATGGAACCCTCTATATAATTCACGACATGTCGATAGAGCCTTCTCTTCTGATTTCAAAATATATATATTAGTTGCATATTTGGAAGGAAAATAGTTGAGTTATTGATGATGAGAATTCAACAAAATACCGTATTATGAACTTTTACTTCGACATACGTTGAATATAGTGGACTTCGAAATAACGTTTATATACATATTATATTGTTCAAGCTCCATGGAGATGTTAAGTTATTGTTCATTATGAATTCGAAATCCTTCAATCTCAATACAAAAAAATATGAATAGGCAGTTTGTATGGAAGATTCGGTATTTTGGTAAACTTTGATAATCAATAATTCAATTATTCTTCATCCAAATATGCAACTCACATATATTTTTGAAATCAGACAAAAGGGCTCTATCGACATGTCAGAAAATATATAGGGTGTTTTATTATAAAAATCAAAGTTAATGTTCTTTGCGGAAAAACGAATGACCGTGTATATGAATCAACTTCACGAAATAAAAGCTTTGGTCGTATCAAACAACTTTTTTATTCAAAATTTTTTCACATCTCTGAAAACGAAAGAGTTAAGAGGGGGCTCCATTTATAGAGGCACACCCTGTACCTTGAGAATTTTTTATGTTCGTCCCAGGAACGTCCTTTTATATCGATGCGGAAAAGTCCCTGGAACTTACAAGGGATGTCTTTGGGATTAACTATTGTCGTAATGGTATACCCATGGAATGTCTTTGGGATGATTTAGGTAGTACGACACCTGGTATATATCGTATATCCCTAGGACGTACTGAAGGAACGTCTCTAGTACGTACCGTGTCCCGACAGGGGCTGTCCCAGGGACATCCTACTGAATGAGGGACGTCCCAGGGATGTCCATAGGAGTTACTTGTGTAGTTAGGGTTATTAAAAAAAATGGAAGGTATCATAAATAATGAAAAAATGAGTGATTGTAGAACACAGAATCATTTAACTTCAACTTCTCTACATTTCAATCTTATATCATAATATGAATTTGAATAATGAACTTATTCTAATGATATAAGTCAAACTCTACTCGAATTGAGAATCTATGAAGTCCACCACCATCAGAGTGAATGAAAAATAGTTCATCGGTAACAAAACAAGACGGGTAGAGAAACATTAGATAAAATCTGACAAAAATCCAACAGCAAAAAAATGTTCCCAAAACGACACAGCTTTTCATCTTATCCACAAAGGTGTATATCACGCGAACGACGTTACAAAAAGTCGAAACGTTGCTCTGTCAATCTTTATTCTGAAGGACATTTTTTCTATAACATTACCAAAAACAAAATGGTATCACCAACAACGTAACTTCAGGCGTTGCCCTATTAGGTACTTCTATATTAAGTATCATGTAGCGACAAATAAATTCTGATGATGGAAAAAAAACTTACCTCACTTATTTGGCAAAAATATGAAATCAACCCGATTGATAAATGACGAGTCTATGAAACGAGTCATTCTTCCCTAATTCGGTATGTTTGAATTCTTTTACTCCTAAGAATGGAGTCTGAGTGATGCAAATAAATGAATTAGGTAGGTATCTGATCAAATTTTAAGAGTTGTATTCGGGATTGTTTCATCAATTTAAAAGGAAAAACAATTTGCCTCATCGGTAACGGATTTTTCTATTCATATTTTCGGTTTTTCTTCTATGATTGATCGCATAGTAATGTGATGTGTGTTGCATACATTAGCGGTGACCACAAGCGAGTTTCGCTTACGCCCTAATAACACACGTTATCCAGAGGACATCCATTTTTTATCCATTTGAAGTCCAAGACATCCATGGACGCCAATTGAAACTATATTTTAATGTAAATCGTTGTATATCCAGCTGATGTTCAAGTGTGTACTCCATCCGGAAGCCTATTAATGTCCATGGACGGCCGTACATATTGGACATCCATAAGTTTATTGTCAGGATGTCCATTGTGGCGACAAATCATGGATAACGCATGTATGTCCTAAAATGTGGAACCATCCATAGGATGTCCTGTGTACACAATGTGGTTATCCTATGGATATCCTGTTGAGGATATCCATTGGATGTCCAATGGATGGAGATGTGTTATTAGGGCGTAGTATTATCATTGCTCTAGTCAAGTCATGGTAACCATCCATTCTCAAAGTGATCCAGTATTTTTCCACAGGAGAAAAAAACCAACTCAAAGTCGGTCGACCACAATATTAAATATGAAAATAATCAGAGTGTCACTATATTTTCGAATCAACGGCTATCCTCAGACACAATGAAAAAAGTATCCGGTCGTTATAAACAAGGATCAATCCAGCCTTGTTAAGATGTTTTCTACATAAAAGGTACCTACTTTTTCCATTGTGTCTGAAGATGGCCGTACAGCCGAAACTATAGTCACACACTGATTATTTTTATATTAAATATTGTGGTCGACCGACTTTGAGTTCGTTTTTTTCTCCTGTTGATAGCTCTAGTCATCTATCACAGCTCCAACATGTTTGCGGCCTCAGGTTCCGGGCTAATCGCCATTATAGTTACGTCACTGGGTTCGCGATACCCTTCAGAACGAAGCTCGTTAGGGCAAGCGGCGTGCTTGTTGTCGAGTGTCCATAATTGTTACAATTTTGTTTGTTTGGAACTTTTCTAGTGTCCGCGTCCATCGACGCTCAGCCTGTACTATGTCAGCAGCTTGAAGAACATGATGGCCAGCGAAATGTTGATGAAGAGCACTACAAGGACCAGCTGTTGGCGCGTGAACCAGTCCTGAAACATGCGTCACATCATCAGGGATCCATAATTTACAAGGGAATCTGAACGGATACACAATCATTCGTGGGAAAAAGATGATTCTTCTGGGTTTGGGCGATATTACTTAGTTCTTCGATGCCGTGTGTGACAAGTGGTGAGTTGAGCAGAGTAGTTGCATGGGTTGCATCATTATTGTAGTTTGACTCTTTGGAATATCCAATCAATCGCGTAAGAACGTGACAAACTAATAATCCTCGAATACAGGGTGCCCGTTTTGCGAGCTCCACCATAGGGATCTCAGCATTTTCATGCTGAACATTCATCTGCCAGAAAATTCGATGTGTCATCAGTTTTCGAATTATTGAAAAGAAACGCAAATTTGTAACATTTGTTTTTATTTTTTCAAGCGAAAACCAAAAGACCAAGACGTTTTTGACTAGGACATTCTTTAGGCACTTTTTCACAAGGAATCTGAATCTGTCATCGTATTTTCCATGATGTTCTTGATGCCCAAGTTACAACACTCAACTTTGTTTTTTTTCTTATGTGCGCCATATTGAATTTTTGCATTTGTGAAAAGTATTTTTTTCATTACGATGATGTTTCACACGATATGATCGAATCTTTCCTGATGATTAAAATTGGTAATAACCATTTTTGCGAAGAGTGCTTTGGAAGAAACAGTTTTGTTTAACAAAATGAATTTTGACAGCTTATTTATTTATTTTATTTTGTTATTTGTTTCTTACACTGTTCAACAGGTTGCCCAATTTACAGAACAGGAAAAAAGGACGAAACAAGAACATATGCATTGCATATTACATATAAAGCATAATGGATAGACGAAACAATATGACAAAATACAAAATATCCTGACTATCAAGTTATTCACTGATGAAGGAGAAAAAAGATAAAAAATTTTGACACGAGTTATTCCACAGCTAAACAGATCTAGGTTCCTAGCTACCAAGTTATATGTAGAGTCCGACCACGATAACTTAGGGACAGCACGTGACGCAACGCATATGCAAAGTCAATGCTTACGCGACCACGTGCTGTCCCAAAGTTATCGTGGTCGAACTCTACTACATATCTTATATAAAGGTGAATTTTTATATATGTTGGCTCGAGAAAACTCTAAGTAGAATGTATCACAATTTCTGGAAGATAATCTCGGGATAATAAAGTTAAATTTTTCCAACAAATCTGCACAGCCAATTAGATTGTTAATAACCTTATAAAGGGTGAGAATAGAGGAGTATTGTCTTCTTACGTGCTGGCTTACAAATTGGAAAGTTTCAAGAAGCTCTCCATGAGGTGTACCAATTGGAGGGTATGAACCGCATGACCTGTAACTTACCAGTTTTAAAAACCGTCGTTGCAGACTTTCAAGACGATCAGTATTGTTCTGATAGTATTGGGTCGGTATGGGCTCCAAACAAGGGATGCATATTCAATCTTCGAACGTATAAAACAGTAATACAATTTCTTAAGAGTATCTATCATTTTAAAATCACGACTGTTGCGAACTATGAACCCGTATGCTCGAAATGCGGATTTCAGGATTGAGTCAAAATGATCATTAAACGATATAGATTGATCAAATATAACGCCAAGATCTTTGACTGTTATATATAGGTCTCAGAAGAGAAATGTCACCAATTGAGTAATTGAAAAAGATTGGGTCCGAACTTCAATGTGAAGGACAAGGACATGATATTACATTTGACAGGATTCAGTTCTAATCTGTTATTTTGGCACCATTCTACCACTCGACCCAGGTTGTCAGCAAGCTGTTGACATCATCTGTGTGATTCACGCACCTATATAATTCCAGATCGTCCGCATATAGCAAAAAGTTCACGTCAATAACATTACCAATGTCGTTTATGAAAATGTTGAAAAGAAATGGCCCCAGATTGGAGCCTATCCACATAACTGTAACTAAACTGTACCGATATTGATGAACTGAGAAGAACCATAATCACCACTTTCAAGACTAAGATCAGAAGACGAGACATCTCGCGAGCAAATTCAGAATCTGGGGAAACGCTCACAATTGTGTTTTGAAGTGGAACGTGGTCATCAAGCATCTGTGAAAACATTGTTTTGTTTTGCGAAGAATAAACTTCTAGCTCATTTCGTCGTTCCCAATTCAAAACCCATAGTTTTTAAGTAGATGATCTTGACGAGAATTTGAACGTTCCAGATCCAAATTCAAATAAACTGTAGAAATTCAGCTTGTTAAACAAAACTGATAGGTACATCATATTGAGCAGAAAAAAAGACTTTTCAAAAATGCAAAAATCCAATATGGCGTTCATAAGAAAAAATAAAGTTGTGTGTTGTAACTTTGCCATCAAGAACGTTATGAAAAATACAATAGATTCAGATTTCTTGTAAAAATGTGCTCTAAGTATGTCCCAGTCAGAAACGTGTAGGTCCTTTTGGTTTCCGCTTGAAAAAAATAAGAACGCAAATTATAAATTTTCGTTTTCTTCCAATAATTCAGAAAATAAGAATAACACATCAAATTTTCTTGCAGATAATTGTTCAGCATGTGTATGCGCATCTTTGCCCTAATTTAACCGACCTCGTATCTCTTATAATAACTGAAATCCCCATGGTGGAGCTCGAAATTCATGGGAGTCTCCAGAGTCTTTCAGTTGTTGCTCAAAATATTCGGCATGATACTGATGTAGATGCCTGGAAGTATCGGAATCATTTTTGTGAGGTGCATTCTCAACCTTTAGGGGATTCCCAACTACCAGCTTTTTTGTTTGAATCCCACCAGGATATATGGAAGCACTATTGACCCTAATGTAAGATCACCCAGACCCATATGAATACTTTTATTTGCAATGGACTCTCGTCACAGGGAATGTGTCGGATACGGTAAATAATGCTGGTGGTAGAGTGAACCCAATTATGTCATCAACTATCTGCGTATTGGAGAAAATTTCCGATTTTATCAATTGGATCGAACTCTAGGTGGTACGGTGGTAACACACAGCAATGTCGATTCAAAATATTGTACGTACCTACTTATGGTATTGATTTTATGTTGTTTGATGATTGTATACAATTCTGCTTGACTATCTTTCCTACTATTGCACCAACAAGCTTTAGAAGCAACACAGCATAACACCTTTCAGTTATATATTATCGACAGTACTTTTTTTAGCAGGAATGACTGTTCTAGCAGGTAAGCTGGTAAAACGGTGGACTTCTCTAATTGGGTTCATTCTATATGTGTTCATAACTACTTCAAAATGTGTGAACAATGGGTGATCATGTTTTTGATAGTGCGTGCAAGTGCTTCATACTCGTTCCATTCACACTCGATCCAGATCAAAATAAATGGTCATCAATCAATAGAACTTTGTTGCTTATTGCTGTTTTACATAAATAAATCTTTAGTTTTTTCGTTTGTTCCGATTGGGGATAGTGTGAACAAATTTTGTGTTGGTGTTGTTGGTTTAACCTGTGTGACTCAAGTATGACCATAGTAAATGGCAAATGAATGAGACTTTCAAATTGCTATAGTTATCATAAGGATGATTTCAATCAACACATGGCAAAATGAAGAATGAAGAATATAACACAGTTAATATTTGGCGAAGCTGTAGATGAACAAATAGAGTGCGACTTATTTTGCCATGAGAGCACTGCTCTTAGCATAATTATCTTGCGGAATCCATGCATAATATAGTTATTGGTAATTTGATTATGCATAACCATGCTGCTCGCGTGAAAGCTAAAACTAAAAGCCAAAGCCAAATGCCGTGCGGTACGGGACTGATATGGCGCCCAACGAACGGTGTTCAATGAAATTATAACTTCATAGCCTTTCAATTTCCCTACCGCGTTAGACTCAACCTAGGTAAGTTACCAGAGGATACATTTAACAACAGCAACACTAAAACATTTACATTACACGTCTACTCCGATAATGCTGGTCAAAATGCACGCGGGTGAAGAGATTTGTCCATTTGAACTACTTAGAACCAGTAGATATAGCACTATCTCAAATTACCAACTGATAGATGTCTGAAAGCGGCAGCCTGAATTAGAATGGAATGACAATCGTCACTGGGAATTCGGAGAGTCTGGGACCATTAATGAATTTGCTTCGTTTAACTTGGACAATACCAGATGATCTATATAAGGGTACGAGAAAAAAGTTGTGAAAGTATAACATCTGAGAAAATGACTGCTGAGTTTTATAGCTATCTGAGTTGATTTATGACATTTATTCAAATTGAGGATTCACCGGCGATATTTGATATTTCGTGTTAATCGGGCATTGAGTCGAATATAGTGACGTATGGCAGCTTTTGATTCGCAGGAATATTGTAACACGATATCCTTGATTATATACACTCCTATACAGGGTATCTGGAAGGGTAATAATCATGCCAAAATAAGTTGTTTGGCCGGATGCTTCATTTCCTTCCAAAAGTTTTTTGGTTCACTCCAAAACGATAATTAATAGGTTGAAAATGTAAAAAGAGGTTTTTGATTAGTGTTTCTGATGATATGATGCTATAATGTTCACCTGAGTCAAAAGCATGATCAGGAATACAATAGGCCAAAATGCTGCAGTGTTTTGGGCCTAGAACCCTGACTGATCATTCTGCTAGAAGAGGAGGATACCATCAATGACAAGTTGAAGATTAATGAGTATCCGGCTAGGGTATCTCGGGATTGATATTCCCGTACTCCCAAGTCGTGAGTTTCTGAGGGGCGTCACAAGACTTGGAGCATACTCAGATTCGTCCTGAGAAAGAGAAAGTGATCGGCATACACGCTAGTCTAATTCGACGCTTAAATGAGTCATTTAGTGTGATGATTCGACATTCGAATGATTTGCTGTGATCTTCAAAAATAAAACACTAATGTGCTGTTTTAGAAACTGGCTGAAACCAAAGAGCCACCTGAAACCCCACCAGATTACCTTTTATAGTTCAAAATGTGATGATTGAGTAGGAGATGTAATTCGTAGGTATTTTCCT